CATCACACACATACACAATGCAACCCTTACACATAAAGACAATGCATCCTTTGCACACATACACAGAAACACACAATGCATCCCTTACACACACATGCAAACACACACTGCTTTTTTTACACACACACAGAAACACAATGCATCTCTTACACACACTCAATGCACCCCTTACAGACACACACACTGCATCCCTTACATACACAGAAGCACACCTTGCATCCCATATGCATACAAACACATTTTCACACAATGCATCCCTTACACACAATCAGAAACACACAATACATCCCTTATACACAAACACACACTGCTTTCTATCCCTTACACAAAAACACACTGCTTCCACTACACACAAACACACTGCATCACCTACACAAACTAGTATCCCTATTCACTACATTCCATAAGCCAGGGCTTGACAAATCCCAGGCACCAGGTCGCCATGGCGACTTTGAATTTTGCCCTGGCTCCTGGGATTGGTCAGCCCGTTCCCTCCTCTTTCTCCTATCTCAATCCCTGTGTAGCGCTCTTTGTGCCGCTGTACCGGAAGGAAGTGAGCTGTAATTACTTTCTCCCGGCGCTGAGGCTGCACAGCACGACACCTAGCAAAGCTAGCAAGCTAGCAGGACACTTGCCAAAATCGTCTCTGTTCACCGCCCGCCCCCACTTCACAGATCCGACCGCCCGCCCGCCCACCTTTCTCAGACCCGACCGCCCACATTTCTCAGACCCACCCGCCTGCACAATTGTTCCCCTGCGCGGCTTCATCGCCGGGAGGAAGTAATTGCAGATCCCTCCACTTCCTCCCAGCTCACAGTGAGCTGCACATGATATCGAGACAGGTGGAGGAGTGAAGTCTTGAACAGCGGCAGCCCACTCCCATTAGGTGCAGCCAGCCCCACAATCTGCCTCCTGCTGTGCCCATGCCCACTGGACCCCAGTGAAGCCACTCTCCTGCACCCAAAAGGTAGGAAACAGGAGAGTGGCTAAAAATATGTATTCACTTTTATTTATTTTTTATTTCTGTGTGTTTATCTGTCATGCATATACGTCTGTGTGTGTGTGTGTGTATTTGTCTGTGTGCATCTATGATTCTTTGTGTGTGTATCAAATAATAAATGTATTGTGATGGTGTGTGAGAGGATGTGTGCCTGTCTGTCTATCTATCTATATCTGTGTGTGTGTGTGTGTTTGTGTGTCTGTCTGTCTATCTGTCTCTGTGTGTCTGTCTATCTGTCTCTCTGTGTCTGTCTCTGTGTGTGTGTGTGTGTGTCTGTCTCTGTGTGTGTCTGTCTCTGTGTGTGTCTGTGTCTATCTGTGTGTGTGTGTGTCTGTCTATCTGGGTGTGTCTGTCTGTCTGTGTGTGTCTGTCTGTCTGTGTGTGTGTGTCTGTCTGTTTCTATCTGTGTGTGTCTGTCTGTCTATCTGTGTGTGTCTATATGTCTGTGTGCGTGTGTCTGTTAGTCTGTCAGTAAATGTGTATGTTTAGGTCACCAGCCCCCCTCCGATCGCACGGGAATGGTGTTTTTACTCACCTGTTTTCCAACGCCATGCCAGTCGTGCCGCAGCTGGCCAGCCTCCATAACTGAGATTATTAACTACCAATCAACATCTCCTCATAGTAAAGCATTAAAGCAATGCATCTCTATGGGGAACGTTCAGCACCGCCTCCACGCTGAATGTAGGTGCTGCATATTGTGCAGCACTGAGATAGGAGACACTTTAGTGGCTGTTGGAATGACTGTCACTGGTGATGTTACTAGGCAGCAAGGTAAACACTGACTTTTCTCTGAAAAAGCAGAGCTTACATAGAAAAACCTACAGAGACAGGTTATAGACACCAAAACCACTAAACTAAGCCGTAGTGTTTCTGGTGACTAGAGGGTTCCCTTAAGAATTTTATTTTTGACGCTGGCTCCTTGATTAAAAGCAAATTTGTCAAGCCCTGCCATAAGCACACACATCAGATCTTCTACAATAACATATAACACATCCCCTACACACTCCACTCTCTGTGAGCGAACTCATGGGTGGAACATGTAGGTGGACTTATGGGTGGGCCTTATAGGCATACTCACCGTCAGGCCCTGGGGCCCAGACCTTAAGCTGTGTAAAGTGTTATGGGCAAATGCAAATATTACAAGTTTTAGAATGAAATGTATTTCTTAAACTGTGTACTTTGTCTTTTAGAGATATTGCAAATTGACAAGGTGTTAGAAATGGAACATATTGTTTTTCATAGATGTTTCTTTAAGCAATAACCTCAGTGCATATTATGTTTACGCCATTTTGTCCTAGACGAATTACAATAACAATAATGCGTAAACAAGCTTCAAGGCTATCCTGTGACTCTTTCAGTATGTAATATACTGTGGTAACCCTAAGTAGATAAGGACGTTCAGACTTTAAGATGCAATCTTGAACTAAGTCAGGAAAATTTCCATGACGTATACACCCTTTAGTTATGGCCTTATATTTTTGCCAAGTTAAGGGAGGTGCTAAAATTAATAAAGTAAAAGAAGTGTTACTTTTTCATATATGAACTACGGTAACCCTAAAATGGAGACACCTAAGGTATAAATAGGTGTACTTTTAAATGTTAAGACACAGAAGAGAGACTTGGAGACAGACACTGCTCCATCTTAAAATGACAGAGAGGCTGACATGTTGACATGTTCAAAAGGGTATGCTAACCTATTAATGATATTTGCAAGCATTTAGTTTAATCTTATAAACTCTGCTATAATGAATTTTATATGTGTATGTTTATATTTTTATAAAAACTTTATTGCTTCCAAGACAATCCTTATTTTATATTGTATTCTCAATTATTTATATATGTTAAATAGAGGATCTCTTACACTAACTATATAAAATTATGGCTAAGATATCTGTATGGTTAGCACTACTAAGTTCTATGCTTTAAAGGGACACTATAGTCACCTGAACAACTACAGCTTAATATAGTTCAGGTGAGATCTACAGCTCCTTGCAGGCAATCTAATGTTAACACTGTATTTTCAGAGAAAATACAGTGTTTACATTGACTGATAGGAATACCTCCAGTGGCCGTCACTCAGACGGCCACCAGAGGAACTTATAAAAAGGCCATGGACACATCAGATGTATTAAAATACGTCTGACGTGTGCAGGAGAGAGAAGGCACTGTGTGTGCGCCTTCTCTCTCCTGCCTGTCAGCAGAGGAGAGGGGGCGGGCAAGGACCGCGAGCTGAGCTGTCAGCTCAGCTTGCGGCCGCACACACCGCCCTATGAAGTATGTGCGCATGTGCGGTGAAGCCGCGCATGCGCACAAGGGAGCAATGACGCTTCCAAATGGAAGCGTCTGATTGCTTTGACGAAATAGGGGGTGTGG